ATTGGTGTAAATGTTATTTTGTCAATCAACTTTGTAACTCAACTTTATACATGTAGCATAATTCATCTCACATAGCATAATTTTGTACTCAGAAATAATATTTGAATTTTTTTCTAGGTCCTTTTAACCATAATTCTATGTCATCTGCACTTTTTCCTACTTTTTAATCACACATTTTTAAAAAAATTCACTAAAAAAACTCTCCCAAACGAATGTTAAGATTTATATTCATACCATGCTCTTGGTATAAACATTATACGAGATGATAGAAATTCAATATGATAAGTGAAGCTGCTATGTTTGCTACTTGACTAGCCATTGTTTGAGCCTCGTTTTGAGAGAAAAAAAAAATGTATTTTTTAAATAGTGATTTTTGGAGAATGTGGGATGAAAAATGAATTTTTTTCGATTTAAACCTTGGGCACTGAGAAAAAATGTATGATAGTACACAAAAAATTTGTTGATTGAGCTTGTTATTTCATTTAAAAATATTAACTCAATATGAGTAGATGATAAATATGAGCGGGGTCAGCACCGGATGAGTCTTTGCCGCCGTTGTTGCTAACTCAGTGATTTTTTTTATTATGTATTGTCTGCGAGCACCGAACGAGCCTCTGCTGCCGTTATTGCTAATTCTATGTTTTTTTTTTATTGGACGATCGTAACATCTCGAGCGGCCATCTAGTGGCCACCCATGCTCATTTTGATTCGTTCATACTTGTTCAGATTTTTTGAATCCTTCACTATGATGAACAACTTTATTCATTCCCAAAATGTGAACTGAATCCAAAAAAATCCTCTCATAATCCCACGAAAGACAAAAAGAAAATCCCAGAGAATAACGGCTGGCCTACTTTGCGTGGCTTCTAAGTAATAATGTCAAAATGGGGACAAAATTACACCTCAAGTGGAGCCGTATCGTCGCTTAAATTCGACGCAACCTTTGACTTTCTTATCCCAAGCAAGGGCCAAGGCTGCTCTTCATATTCAAGTTCAATTATTGAAATAGACAGCCTTAAAATGCTACTTGATTATTTATGGGATTGCCACTCAAATTATTGAAACATTTTGCTAAAGTATAAATGGGAGAATTGAAGCGGTGAATTCTCGCTTCCACATCGAGCTTGTTATAATAACTTTTGACGTAAGATGTTTTTAACTTTTCGACATAACCCATCACGTAAATGTTCCCCTATCTTTATATAACTTTTCTGTTGCTTAACTTAACTGAACTCGCTTGATTTCTTGCACGCCCCCTCTAATCTTCCTGGTTACGACCCTTCACCCACCTCACTCAACCCTCTAGTGGGAAACCGTTCATTGATATTACTAATAAAACAAATGTGAAAGGTGGAGGATTTAATTTCTGAAATGAGAGGGACCAATTTGCTTGAGAGAACATAAGTTGTGTACTTTCTCTACAAATTTCCACACTTCTGTAGTAGAATGACCAACTGATGTTTACGTGCTTGGAAGGCCTGGATTTAAATTTTGAAACTACATATATTCTTACAGCGCAAAATTGTTTGAACCTGAAAATGAAAATAACATCGGTGATGTTGTTTGATTATTCGTATTTACAACAACGTAAATATAGTTGAATGTGGAATTTTATGTCGTATGTCTGATTTAGATAAAAAATCAAAATTTTAATTTAATAGAAGTTGATGAAATGTGTTGTTGAAAGTTGCGATTTTCATAATAAATGTAATTAAAATTAAATATTAATTTATTTTTTCAATTGAATCAAATACGAGGTTAAAAAGGTTTATATAAGATACTGAGTTAAATTAACATAATCAATTAATCAGTGATTAAATGAAGAATTTTAATATTCATCTGTCCCTTTCTTCTGTCCAAACCCACTGGCGCCGCAATTCACGACAGATTGTCTTGCTCAGAATTTTTCTTCCCCTACTCATCACTTCCCCACTAATTGAGTTGTTAACCTAACCTTCTCCGCTTTAAATTTGACTCCACGAAAAAACTAAAAATTAAATTTGTATTTTAAACTTAGTTCATGTTTAAAAATTACGATTCTTACGGGATATATAAAAAAGATGAACTGCATCCTTGACGGCCCCCACCTTCTCTTCTCTGAACCTTGGTGAATGAGATAAATTGCAGGTTATGCCTCTAAGGGTATAGAGTGGAAGACTGCTTATATACTTACACTTACCCAATGGTCAAGTCCATATTTTAGGATTCAAACCCTTGACGCAGCAGTTTCAAGCAAAATTGAAATTTTTCCACCTTCCCTTTTTACCACTTGGAGATGTGCCCTATGGGCTTCTTACGGAATATATACCGAATATTAATTGTAAGTTCCATGAAATATATAGATAAAAATATGTACTTTAATTCGTGTTTTGCGTTAATTCTTAAAAATAAAAAATTATTGTTATTGCATTTATATATCAATTCATATTTAAAATTGCTTATATTCTCCGTTCAAATCTAATAATTAGAAAGATAATTGATTTAAACAGCACAAGACATTAAGCCCTCGTTTAGTACATGTTTTTTTAAAACTTATTGTCAATCAAACTCACCCAAATATTACTGTCTCTCATCCTAATTCACTTTTACCAATGGTCAAACGCTATCTTAACAAATGCAATCATTGCTGTTGGTGTTCTGCGATCTATGCCGTTGATTTTTATCTAGTTATTTTTTTCTGAATTAATTTTTCTAAGGTGTTGGTGATGGTAATGATGCCGCCATCGAAATCATTACATTTGTAGAGGTGATGTTTCGACGAAAGTGGGGTGAGGTGAGGTGAGGTGAGTAAATTGGTTGGGAAAAATGATTTTTTTTATGTGCTAATATGCCTTTAATTATTTTAAGACTGATTTATTTTTCTGAAAATTTATGGGATTCCATTTGGAATTTTTTTCTTGTTTTATCGTTTTATTTCTTTATCCGATGTTTATTTATAAAGAAGAAGAGCAAATCCATTATTTAATGATCAAAAGGCAGTGGAACGGCAAATTTTGCTATGTAATTGAAATGACGGGGATGGATTCTGTTTAAAAAAAAGATCGAGGATAGTTTTATTATATTCTTCAAAGATTGAGGACAAAAAGTGAAAATATTCCAAATATTTATGTTATGAAAATGAACATTGTTGGTGAATGACATGGTAAAATGGAGGTGTCAGGGTCCCACCTCATTTGTCTTTGTAGGTAATCGTCAATTAATATAAATTAAGTTAATTGATGAGTAATCAGATAAGGCAGCAAATATAATATTGAATTAGACGGGGAGTTGGTATGGATAAGTTTGATCTTAATTAATAGGAAAATGGAATCCGGTGTGGCACGACAACAACATCATAATCACATTCGTCACAATCTATGTTTTTAGTCTCCTCGTATTTTTTTTATATATTATTTAAATTAGTTACATAGTTCTCACAATTCGAAATTAAATTTTATTCTATATTTCATTTTTTATAATTTACACAAGATTTTTGAAGAAAATTCAAAGAATATCATCGGCACGAAACCTTTTTACGAATTTAAATTTAACAAGATAAGTTTATTTGCTTTTATTACTTTATTCTTCGACAAAAGTTTAGTCGACAAATTAAATTTATTAAGATAAGTTTTATTTTTATGTTAGTAATTAAATTAATTTTTACAATAATTTTATTTTAGCCACCGTTTGACAATTATTATTTTAAAACTCTTTAATTCTCATCAACTATATATTTAAGTAATAAAATATTTTACAAAATGAATTAAAAACTTTTTTTAACTTGTTAACCTCGTGGTTTAATTAATACGGGTGAATTTACGTCCACAGAATTTTGGGTGCTGATGATAAAGATCGAAGGGTCCAGATTGGACGTGGTTATGAAAACACGGTCCCCTTAATTGTGATTTTATCACTCCAAGGTGGCAACCCTGGCGTAGAAAGAACATTACCAAAAGTCGACTGCCTATTACAAGTCAACAAAAGTCTTTTTCCAATGACTAGATGCCACGTCTTGTAGCTGAACAAAACCACGCACAGATGCCAGTCAGATATACACGTGTCAAAATACCACTGGACATAGTATATACTTCCACAAATCGAAGAAAAGTGACATGTTAAGTGTACATAATTTTTTGTACATAAGAATGTCCACACCCTCCCCTATGTACCAAAAATGATGTACACTAAGAATTATTCGGAGAAAAAATGGGTTGAGAGAGGAATAAAATTACGTGTACCATATTGGTTGACAATCACCCGTTGTCAAAATCCTAGCATATGATATAGAAAATAATTTTTTAAAATGAATGAATACGATGATATCTTGTCAATCAATATTATCAATTAATATTGTACATGTAGCATGATTCGTGGAGACGGGGGAGGGGCAGGGGGAGAGGGAGCCATGGCCTAGGCCTTTATATGCGCATACAGATTGCTTCTACCAATACCCAAGAGTGAAAAATCAAACGAGGCAACAAAAAATAGTGAGTGTGTATTTTCATTTCTCTTCTAATTTTCTTATTTCCCCCGTGTTAATCCCCGCTTCTTGGATCCCTTTCTGTCATCGTCTGTCTTTCAAAATTTTATAAAAATTTCAGGGTTTGATTTTCTTGAATTTGGACTTGAACTGGAAAAAATTCGTAGCAGAAAACAAGCAAACCCCAGAATGGCCTTTTTTGAAAGCCACAGGTGATTCAGAATAGAGATCACTTTTTAGTATAATTTTCTTACTTTTTGTTACTCAGAACAACTAAGAGGGTCTGTTTTTTTTAATCCCTCAGGTTGGTTTATTTTCTCTTGATTTCAGAATATAGTTTTAAGGGTATTAAAGGGTTGTTTATTTGAGACCTGTTTATTTGAATTCTGTGTTTTCTTGATAAGAAATCATGGCAGCAGCTATAGATATATTCAGTGTTAGCAGCAGTGTTTTTTCTTCAGATCCTTTCAGGGAAGAGCTTATGCAAGCACTTTTACCATTTATGAAGAGTGCTTCTTCAAGTACCTCTTCTTCTTCTTCTTCGCCTCCTCCTCCCCCTCCTCCTCGTTCTTCTCCTTCTCCGTCTTCTAATGACTACCCTTTTGACTCGTCTCTTTCTTCTGAATCCAATATGTACCCTGGATTTGGCTCAATCCCATCAAAAACCCAAGAATTTTATCCAGGGTTTTCGAGTTTTGGATATGAGCAAACTGATAGTACTATTGGGCTAAATCTCCTCACCCCATCTCAGATCCTTCAAATCCAGGCACAGTTCCAACTCCAGCAGCAGCAATTGCAAAATCAGCAAATGAATTACGCTCTTAGCCATTTGCAGCATAAGCAGAACCAATTCTCAAGCTCTCTTGGTCCAAAACCTGTCCCAATGAAGCATGCTGGAACTGCCCCCAAGCCCACAAAGCTTTACCGGGGAGTGAGGCAGAGGCATTGGGGAAAATGGGTGGCCGAGATTAGACTTCCAAAGAACAGAACTAGGCTTTGGCTTGGGACTTTCGACACAGCTGAGGAAGCGGCTCTAGCGTATGATAAGGCTGCTTATAAGCTAAGAGGAGAGTTTGCAAGGCTCAATTTTCCCAACCTTAGGCATCAGTTATGCCATGAATTCAGTGACTTCAAGCCCCTGCATTCCTCTGTTGACGCCAAGCTTCAAGCCATATGTCTAAGCTTGGCTAATTCGCAGAAACAGGGGAATTTAGAAAGGCCCTGTCTTAAATCTGATGCAAAGTCAGGAATTTCAACACGAAGAAGTGTTATGAAGATGGAAAATTCATTGAATGGAGGATTTAGGAACCCGACATCAAAGGATAACATCAAGGTGGAGGCCTCATCGTCACCTTCCCCATCTGATGAGGGATCGGCTTCGCCCGCATCTGATATTACCTTTCTGGATATCTCAGAGCCTTCTTTGGAAGAATTCGATTTCATGTTGCAGAAATATCCTTCCGCGGAGATAGATTGGACAGCGCTATAATAGTATACCATATGTTTTAAGTACTTTGGTTTATTTCTAGGAACTTCATGTTGTAATCCAGGTTTATTTTGGAACCTCTGCAATGGTTTTTTTGACATGTGCAGAGGCCCTGGTGTTTATGTTTATATATGTAGCGACGAGTACATAATCTCTTCGATTTGGTCCGTGCTGGTGTTTTTTTCCATGCTAGGCCGAGGAAGATTCTCTGTTTCTGGAATTTGTAACTCAAGTGTACTTTGTGTTTATTAGCAGTATGAATTATGTTGTTATATATTTATGACGCCTTGCTTCTGAACAAGAAATCATAATACTGGAAACTGGAAATATATACCGTATGAACTTCTCATGAATTATTAACCGTATAAATTTCTCAAATGTTAAATCAATCTTCGTTGTTTTGAGTACTTTCACTTTTTTATTTCTCAACAGGGGTGATTTTCTGCTCACGCGTATTGTGGCCACAACTGATGAGGATAGAGCAATGTTACGTGTACAAAATTGGGTTAGCCTAGATCTTGTCACGCTCATTTTGTCCAACAATTTTATAACTCAATTTTGTACACACAACATTGTAGGATGTGAATATGCCGAGTCAGTAAATCAAACCGTCATTATTGACAATTATTAAATAAAAAAATGTCAATAATGACGGTTTTATTTGTCACGTCAAATGTGGAAATATTTTATTTTACCCACCGAGCAAGATTCTATTCTCTTATCATCATAATTACATCATGTGGACTTCATTGGTTGGATCATTGAATTCAAAAACTTAAAATTCTATTGTTGCTTCCTCAAGGAAAACCTATTGGTTGTTTCAGCACCCCAACGGCCTAACCTCTTTTATTATTGAGCAATTGTTATGGACTTCAAGAGAGACTTTCATTTTGTTTTTTTTACAAGAAATATTTGTTGATTTCTATTAATAGATTATTTAGAATATTTTTTAAATATGTCAATGATCAATCAGATTGAATTTGGATAATATAAATAGTAGAATATTATAAAATAATATCAGAGTTTCTGGATTGATTCTTTAAGGAGACTCCTTCATTTTGTTTTTTTACAAGAAATAATTGTTGATTTCTATTAATATATTATTTAGAATATTTTTTAAATATGTCAATGATCAATCAGATTGAAATTGGATAATATAAATAGTAGAATATTATAAAATAATATCAGAGTTTCTTGATTGATTCTTTAAAATATAGAATAACTTGTACCTAGAGTCTCCTAAAAATTCTCGAAATTGTTGATTTTAGCTGTTTCCTTACCAAAGGTAAGCTTATCTTCGTTGTCGCGTCTATTTTTGAAACAGAAATTTTAGCAGAACTTTAGCCCTTTATAATTGCAAGGTAAGAGCCTCCCGATTGTTATATAATTGTGTTGTTCAAATATTGGTAAATGAGAAATTGATCAAATGTGGTTGAAAAGAGATTAAAAATAGAAAAATAGTTGGACAGTTTTGGCACCTTTTCAACCTCAATTTCTATCTTTTTGTGAAAAGTTGGCACCCATA